CCCCAAAACCCCAAAACCCCAAAACCCCATCAAGAGTAAATATAGGTAAAGTATTAATTTTAGTGATAAATTATTATCTAATAATTAATGGAAAGCACAAATTCAGAGTAAAATCAGGGACAGCCCAAGTAAGTCAATAGACTGAAAATTCCAGTGGAGATTGAGATGCCTGCTCCAGAGGCAAGAATTTTCGAAAATATCAAGACAGAGAAGCCAGCCACTAGAAAGCTTCTAGAGTTAGATATCAAATTTGGAGACCTCACTGATAAGAACGTTGAGCAATTCAGAATTTTGAACTATTTGAATCTGCCTGTGATCTACTCAGAAGACTTCTATAGAAGATTAATCAATAATCTCAGATACTCCAAGCTCGCATATCTTAAGGACGTACTGGTAGGAGCAATATCCTGCAAAGAAGATGATTATGAGGGAGAACGAGTGGTCTATATCATGACAATTACTATTCTGAAACCATACAGAAGATATGGTATTGCTTCGAAGTTACTTGAATAGGCTGTCAAAGACTGCGCAAAGGGAAATATCAAGAAGATGAATCTACACGTTTAAAGCAGTAACTAGAGTGCACTTGAATTCTATAAGAAGCATGGCTTTGAAATAGCAGCTAAACTAGATGACTACTACACTGATCTTTAGCCTGCAGACTGCTATGTTCTTGTTAAAAATTTAGAATAATCCACAACAAGCCAATGAAATTTAGAGTGTTTCAATTAATTATTTAACTTAGTTTAAATACTGATAAAGAGAATTGATAGGTAAATTAGAATGATGTTATTAGCTGCAAACATTGAACTATTAGAGTTCTTAAGTTAATATTTATATATGCTAATGTTCTTATAACTCAAGACTTCTTCTTATTTCTATTCATCTTATCCTTCTCCTCTTTTTTGATGAATGCCTTATGAATCAGACGAACAGCACTAATAACATCAGCAATCTCTACTTCATCTGTCCTGCTTTCATCCATCACATTCTTCTATTTGGCCATTATACTAGCATTGCCTGCTTGATTCTCAAGGAATTTAAAGGCATCTACCATTTATTAGAGTACCTCTTTCCTCTCCTCTCCAATCGTCATCATAGCAATCACACCACTCTAGAGGCAATCCTAAAGCATGAAGGTGGCTCCTGACCTTCTCTCTAGATCAAATGAAATTGATTCTAATCGACACATATGGAAGAAAGTCTTGTATTAGATTGAAGCTAAGCCTGGATGGTGAAGATATTTGCAGTACATGAAGCTTCTTTGTGAAACTGGATCTTTCTTTACAAAGCTAGTATTTCGCTTTAAGTATTTAGAGCCCATTCGAGATCCATTAGCTGAAGAAGCTGTACTATCTTAAGTGTTATCTATGTAGTACTTTCCTGTAAATTAATCTAACTACCCTTCCTATAAATTAAGTTCACTTTGAAAAAATACTTACCATTAAAAAGTCAAAGAAAAAGCAAGCTGAGGCATAATCAGTCATACCACAGTTAAGATCTATTGCCCAGAATAAAGGATGGCTTGATGGGGAAGTTGGATCAGGGAATGATACTAGATCTACTGTTACGTGGCCTAAAATGCCTTTTTCATAAAGTATTTCTCCTATAGACTTTGAGATTGTCATCATATTCATGTTTGGAAGAGATTATTAAGGAAAGAAACATCCCGCGTTAATATAATCTCTAGCTGCGAATCTATCCATCGATCCGATCAATTAAATCTCCCCACTGGGCTCAATCATAAAGCATATACTAGGGGAACCCATTTAATTCGTCATGCATGTAGGTGCTGCTTCAATTACACCTCCAACTTTACAAAATGAATCAAGGTAATCAGCCCACCCATCATACAATCTGTTCATTGCAATTTTAACCTTTTTGTGCAAACTTTTACTCAAAATACCAATTATCCTATCTACCAGTTCTTCATTGATTTCTAGTTGCTTTCGTCTCAAGTCAGCTAATGGCTTAATGTTATCAATGTTTAAATAGGCATGACCTCTTCCATTAAATTCGTCATCAATTTTAAAGAGCCAGGTTTGCACATATAGATTATTAGCAATTAATTTAGCAAGTGATAGTAAGAACTCCTATTCATCATAAATGTCGATTGCACTTATTGGGGTAGGGACATCTGCCAACTGAAAAATCTTCTTACTTCCAGATTTGGTTGAGTACAAATTTTACTTTGATGGTTCACCACTAAGTATCGGAACTGAGAGCATTATTGATAATTTAATGTCATCTGTAGATGGAAGACCTGGCACAATATATGCTTGTCTTCCTTTAATTAAATTCTTAATTCTCTTAATAGTCTTAGGACTGTAAATTAGAATTTGAGCAAGTGAAAAATGATGAGGGAACTTCTATATGTTATCTGGAACAATTATATTAAGTTTGCTGTTCGCTCCCTCAATCTCTCCAATCTCAAGAATTTTCATATAATATCCAGTAACATCATTAGTCATTTAGAAGGGAGATACATAAATAACATCAACGTTAGGATCCTTTACAGCAAAAATTCTGCTAATCTAGGCATTTTCTCTTTATAAAAATTTCTCCATTGATATTCTTTTCATTTCTTAAACTGATATACTATTAATGTGAATCTCAATTCTCTTTTTCTTTTTAATTTCAGTCCATTTATTTTTAAATTCTTCCATCATCTCTTTCCAAACAAATAGACTTTCATTTGTGAGTTCTTCTACTTTGGCTTTAGTTTATTTTTAGAACTGGAACAATCTAAATCTTCTTTAAATAACCGTAGCTTTTGCCATTAAAAATTTCAATTAACTGTATGCTGTATAAGCTTTGTACATTCTCCAATTTTTCTGAATTGTGATCGCAGCTAGTTCAGGACCTTTAGGACCCTTAAACATTCTGCTTGGGATTTTTATAATTTTACCCACCTCTTCTTTGTTCACTATGCAGTCAAATAACAGTTCGTTTGATGGCTTTTTTAGATCTTCCTCAGCTAATAATGCAACTTGCTTTCCCTCAATATAAGCCATATCAATGTTATAAGTTGTTAGTAATTTCTCAAGCAAATGTATGATGTAGGATATAGATCCCCATTTGTGAATATAAGTACGTTTGAATGAAATAAACTCAGGTGTTTGATCTAAGACCTTGCCTTTTCTAATAATGAACTCGTGCAAAGAATAAATATCCATGAGCTCATTATACGATCTATCTTTCTAGTCGATTTATGATTGAGAAAAATGAGCTACTTAGTTCTATGATGCAAATGATTTAAATTCATCTCCTGGAGCAGGTAGAGCAAGAAAATTATTATTTTAGCCAAATTATATGTTTGCTATTGATGGCTATACCTATCTATTCATGTAAGATTATTCTCCTGACATAATAGGCACTAGACTTCTGTTCTTTGATATTTATGGTAACTAAAATATTCAACCAAAAGAGACTTACTGGTTATAGATCAAATTTTAGAGAGTTTTATAAGTTCGGTCCTGTTTATATTTCTCTCTTTACATTTTACTCTCTTTTGTCATAAAATCTAACTCCTTTACACATCACAGGAGGAGCTCCTTTCTCGAAAGCTGGAGTCAGATCTACATCTTTAGGGATTATACCTTTATTGAGTAAACTAATCATTCCTTTTTTAATGTCTTCCTCTGTAATAGGAGGAGGATCCATTCCATTCATTGAATCAAAAGCACCACTTGCAGGCTAATTCTTCCACTTTTTACTTTTAAAAATTCCGCCCAGTGATTTCTTAGCTGTATATGTTGCTCTTCCAGACCATCTTCCTCCTGCTGGTTTAAGAATACCAGTGCCTTTACTCTGAAACTGGCCATTATTCATTCCAGATTAATTATGAGAAAAGTCAGAAGGAGGACTTTGCATTTCAAACAATGAAGGTCTTTTTTATGACTGCGATGGAATATCAGGTAACTTAAAGTTAGGCAAATCTTGTTGAGTCTTGCCGAAATTTTTCATCATTTAACTCATTAGAAGTTCATTTTTCTTTTCTAAGCTATCATAGATCTTTTCAAGTTCAGTTTTAAGCTTATGAAGATGGGGAGGAACCTCACCTATGAAAATAAATTAAAATGAAACTACCTTTGCTGTAGCCTGGAAGATTTTCCAGCTATAGCTTAATGATTTTAATTTCCTCTTGCAATGCATGAATAACTTTGCCTACTTCTTCGGGACTAACAGCAGAGGGATCAAAGACGACTAATTATTATTGTTAAGCTTAATAATTTTGAGTATTTTCAGATGGAATCATTTCCATTTTTATATAAACCAAATTAACTATTATTTCTAATTCTTTAATCATACTCAGTCGTTTTAAAGTTCTTTGGAGTATTATTAGTTCCCAAGTGAGTATTGTTTCCTGCTGGCACCCAAATCGGTTTTTTCTACTATTACGATCTCTCAGTCAATATTCCGTTCTGGAATTTCAGCTCTGACTTTGACCTTGGCTCATAAGTCACTCTGTTCTTTAAGTCAGGCAACAATCCCCTCTGACTCATTCCTCCCTTGTTTAGCTTCAACCCGAATTGCATATCAGTTCCTTAATAGGTGTTGTTTACAAAATAGCCAGTCTTGATTTCTCCATTAGGTAATTTAAGACTTCCCCATCCCTGCTGCTTTCCCATTACCCATTCTCCTATATATACAGTGCCATCATACCATCTCATCTCTCCTTTTCCGCATCTTTCATCGTTTTCGAAGTAGCCCTTGTATTCACTTCCATTAGACCATTTTACTTCTCCAAATCCCTTTCTCTTATCTCTCTCAAAACTTCCCTCATATAAAATCCATTTATTAGAGTCTTATTAGGATTTCTTAAACAGTGTTCCCTTTCCATGTTTCAAACCTTGCTCGAAATTGCCCTTGTAATAGCTTCCATCTGGCCAGTAATATTCTCCTTTTCCATAAGGTAAACCGTCAAGATATTGGCCCACATAACTACTTCCATCAACGAATATATCTTTTCCTTCGCCATGTTTTCTACAAGCTTTCCATTCGCCCTCATAGCGATCACCATTCATCCAAGTCATAATGCCATACCCTGAAGCTTCTCCATTTACCCAGTCTCCATCGTATATTTCTTAATTGAAGTTTCTCCAATAACCCTTGCCATGTCTTTCACCGTTAAGCCACTCGCCTTCATAATAATCCCCATTTTACCAGGAATAAAATCCTTTACCTGAAGGTTTATTGTCTACGAATTATCCTCTGTACTCGTTTCCATTGCTGTAGACTTCGAAGCCATATCCATGTCTTTAATCCTTAACCCACTGGCCTTCATAAATTCTTCCAGTGTCATAAATCATCACACCGTATCCTTCTCTTTCGCTAATATAATTTAATTCTCCTCTGTAAATAGCATTTTGATATTGTTTAACTCCGAAAGTAGCACTTATTCTAATATCGTTATAATTGAAAACATCAGATATCATCTCATAATCTGGCTTCACGCTACCGTCCTTTGTGAAGGCATCAAGGTACTTTTATTTTGTAATAGAAGTTTAGAATAACCTATTTTTCGTGGCTTTTGGTGAAGACATAAATGGCATTTTACCATAATTCTCATTCATTGTTGCTTTTAAAGGTGTTTTAAGTTTGGCTCTTACGACCCCTCCTTTTGGAGAAGGGACAATGTGTGTCGAAAGCGAGCTTCGCTTAGATTAAAACAAATAATCCATTGTTGTATTAAAAATTTTCTTTTCTTG